ACAAAGTGTATGTGCACTGCTGTATGGAAAGTGAATTTGCTCTGTAAACTTTCACCCAAATCCCAATTTTTTAAAAAAAGACTACAAAAGAAATGGCCAGTGAAAACCTTATGAAAAGCAGTAAAACACTGATATAATGAACTGGGCAGTGTTTTATTCTCTGGTACATAGGGTCACTACTGAGTTGGAGCTGACTCAACAGCACATAACGACAACTATCTTTTTAAAAAAATTTTTTTTTTCTCTTCTTCCATACAAAATGCTTGTTACATAATAAAAGTTAGTACAGTTAGGGTAGGGGAAAAGTCAAATTAGCCCAATATTTTTTTTATATATAGTTAAATGACAAAACCAAAAATCTAAGTACTACCTTCAGTTTGTATTAAATTCAAAGGCATTTTCCTTGATTCTGCAGAGTGTTAGCCTTAAGCTACCAATGGCTAAAATATACTTTGTATAACTACCTTAAAAACCTCACTTAGATGGCCATCTAGATGTAACAATGGGTCTCTCCTAGTCCAGAGCAAAGAAGAATGGAGAAAACCAAAGATTCATGGAAACAATTAGTCCAAGCAACTGGTACATCATGGGATCCTCAGCCTATACAACTATGAGACCAGAAGAACTAGATGGTACTCGGCTACCACTGTCAACCACTCGGAGGGGGATCTATGTAGGAGATCCTGGATAGAGTAGGAAAACAGTGTGGAACAAAACTCAAAATCATTTGGGAAAATAAAAAAGGGACCAGGTTTGCTCTGACAGAGCCTGATGGAACCACTGAGACTATGGCCCCTGGCTGCCCTTCAGGTCTGGAATTGAACCCACACCTATGGCTTCCAGGCAAACAAAAGACAGGCATATGGGGTGAACATTTACGCTAGGCAGATATACTCCTTAGCGAGAACAATCAAGGGAGAATAGAAGTGCTTAAGGTATTTGACTGCTAACCAGAAGGCTGGTGGTTCAAACCCACCAGCCACTCCTTGGAAGGAAGGTTGAACAATCTACTTCCATAGTGATACTGCCTCAGAAACCCAAGGAGGGGTCGCTATGAGTCGGGTCCAACTAGACGGCAATAACAACAGCATACACAGGGAGACAGCTCAGGGGGTAGGAGTGCACAGAAGGAACTCAGGGGATAGAAGTGCATAGAGGGAAGGACATAGGGAAGAGGTAACTATGGTGAGGAAGTGGGAGGGAAGCTGTTGCACTGTAGTAAATTGTAGTCAATGTCATGAGACAAAGTGTATGTGAATTGCTGTATGGAAAGTGAATTTGAGCTGTGAACTTTCACCCAAATCACAATTAAAAAAAAAAAAAAAACCTCACCTAAAACAAACAGTCTCTAAAATCAGAAGGTCCTAAATTTGAAATGAACAGTAACACTACCTATAAGACCTTGGGCAAATTACTTAACCTCTCTAAGCCTCTATTTCCTTACTGGGAGGACTAAATGAGATAATATACATAAAACGTTCAGCACCAGTGTTTGGTACATGTTATCCCAAAAAAAAAAAAAAAAAACCAAACCCACCCATTGAGTCAGATCCGACTCACAGTGACCCCTCCTTGGGTTTCCAAGGCACAATCACTACGGAAGGAGATTGTCCAACCTTCCTTCCCAGGAGCGCCTGGTGGGTTTGAACCGCCAGCCTTCTGGTTAGCAGTCAAATGCCTTAGGTACTACTCCACCAGAGCACCCATGTTATCCCCAGTAAACATTAACCCACAGAAACATACATACCAAAACTTCTCTGAAAAGACACAAAAAAACTATCAGTGACGGTTGCTTCTGTGAAAACAATTTGACATCAGGATTGTGGAAAGACATTTATAAATCACTATGGATTTTTGTACTTTCTGCATTTTTAATCACTTTTTAAATTATTTGTGCTATGAGATTTCTTAGTATTTATCATAATGTATTACAAAAGTTAAATTACCACTACTGAATTCAAAAGGGAGTAAGTCATACACTAATAATAGTCACAAAGAAATCACAACTTGTCTAATGTCGTGAATCTGTTAGTTGTTCTTTCTTATTTCAGAACAGTCCTAATGGTTTTCACTAAGACACCTTACTTAACCAATAGTTTTCCCCAGGAACGCTTTTGTCTCTCAAGGGACTTTGGCAATAGAGACATTTGTGTTTGTCACAACTGGGGTGGGAGTGTACTATTGGCATCTAGTGGGTAGAGGCCAAGAATGCTGCTAAACATCCTATAACGAGCAGTCCAACCCCCCCAAAAAAAAAATATCTGGCCTAAAATGTCAGAAATACCAAGGTTGAGAAACCCTGTAAACCAAAGAACTACACAACTCTGAAAGTATCCAGGTTCCTCAGTAGTTACAAAAACAAAACAAAATACACACACATCAAATTCTCCACACACAAGTAACAAAGTAAAATCTAGGACTGGGAGACTAGGGGCTCAATAAATACAGTCATTGTTGGCCATTGCTGAAATTCTAGCTGCTAGAATAGCTTAAAGGTTTGCCTGTCTACTCAATTTCAATACATTTCAAGGTTTTTAAAGCATTTATTATTAAATGTTCTAAAAGTTCAGGCCCTCAATGAGATGGACTGACACAATGGCTGCAACAACAGGCTCAGGTACAGCAAAGATTGTGGGGCTGGCACAGGACGGGGCAGTGTTTCATTCTGCTGTATGTGAGGTTGCTGTGAGTTGGCGAGGACTCGAGGGCACCTAACAACAACAAAAGTTCTTTCTAAATGATTTCGAAAGATTATACTTTTTCTCTCCTGTTTTCAAACGGCAATTAAAGATGCACAAAGCTCAAACAATACACTACTAAAACAGAATAGACCCTTTATTTTATTTTTAAATTACCAAGCCTTTTCCATAAATCTACTTTTACATTTCACTTAATGAAACTGCCTTGGCCTACTATTTTTAGATATTTTGAACATGTTAAAGTCCTTCAAAATTTTAAGAAAATTCAAGAATAGTTCCATTATTTCTGATCAAGAAGGCAAGTTAATGTCAGTAACTTTATAAAGAATCTTGAACAATTACAAGCCCAATCACTCCCTCCTCTAAGCTTCCTACCAGAAAGTAACCATTGATACAGAGCTTTGGGAAGTGTTTGTTTTGTTTTGTTTTGTTAATTGTGATTTGTGTGAAGATGGGAAGTGTTTTAACAATATTTGAGATCAGGCTTATCAAAAACTAGAACAAAACTAAACCAAATGACCATCAAAATCTAAAGATGTTTCACAAATAGGTAGGAGGTAGTTTTTAAATACTGCTACTGCTAGCACTGTTGGTGGTCAAACTTTAAATCACACTTAGTACTTCTTTTAAATCTTTTAAAATGTATATTTCTCCAATTATGTAAGAGTTGAGTACTATCTTAATACTTCTTAGTACTTTAATACTGCTTAATCACTACATAATAAAAGCCTACTCTGATTAAAGAATTCTTAAGGAAACAAAACTTTAATTCCTTCCTCCAAAACAAGGAAATAAACAAAAAAACAAAGAAAAACGTTATTTGTAAATTAAAAAAAAAAAAAATGGAATAAAGGTGCTTCTCCTTCGTTGTTTTTCCAAGATATTCTTCCGGATGGATATGTGTATCACTAGAACTTCTGCACCCGTCACTCCCTTTGAGCATCTAGAACTTTTAATACTTGTCCAAACCTGCTTGCTCATGGTCTAATAATAAACCTAATTATACAATCTGCAACAGCCCCTGACAACCTTTCCCTTACGAAGCCGGAAAAGTGATTTAACTAACACCTCAAATTCTTAGTAAATCTATTTCAAAAATAGATTTCTTCATTCCAGCCTTTGGCTTCTCCCGAAGGCCAGGAGCTGCTAGCTATAGAGTGAGGAGGGGGAAGATCAGCCTGGACTGAGAATGACACACGCTGGGCGTTGGACAGGAGAGATAACTGCTGGTTCATTTCTCTTTAAATCTGGCAGCACGTGGGGCTGCATTGTGAAGCCACCAACCCACCTCCCCCCTTACAATTCGCACACGTACGTCTCCAGTGCGCATGCTCTGCTCACACAGTCCTAGCAGAGCAGGAGCCAACCCCCTAAAAAGTCAACCTGGAAGCCGCATACGGCCCGAGGCCGGGACAATGGGGGAGGGGGGAAGCAAGCACTTCTGGGGAGGCTGATCCAGCCGCCGCCCGACCCACAGCTGTGGGCCACAGCCCCAGGAGTCTGCAGGCCTGTGCGAAAGCCAGAATTGCTCCGCGCACAAAGCCCCGGGCCGGTCAGCTAGAGGCTCTCCACTCTGCCTGCTCCTACTCTCCCCCAGGGCGGGCGGTGCAGCCAGAACCCGTGCCAGGCGGAGGCAGGCGAGGCGGCGTCCGTGCGCACCCCCACCAGGTTCTCGGACACCCGCGCGCCAGCGACGAGGCCGCGGAGGCCAGCGCTTTTGTTGTTGGCCACAACTCCGCGGACCCGGCGCTGCCGGGGGAGAAGTTTTGCGCGCCTCACTTATCCCGCCAGAGGCCAGTTCCTTTCGCCCACTCTCGCCCCCAGCTGACCGCCCGCCGCTCAGACACCCTGCACTTCCAAGCCGGGGATCCGCAGGCGTGCCGAGCCCAGAAGCCCTTTCCAGCCCCCAGGGTCCGGCGGCCTCTGCCGCACCTGAACCCGGGATTCGCCCCTACACGGAGAGTCGATCCCGTCTGGGAACCCACCGCCCCTCCCCCGCAACGTCCACCGGTGGGGGAGGGGGTAACCTCCTCTCCTTCCCCCAGAGGGCCAGGCCCGGTCCCAGGGCCGAGACTCGGACGCGTCCCCGCCCCCAACACCCTCAGAGCCGGGGAAGAAGTATTGGGCCCGGCCGGGACCAGCGACTTAGCACCCTCGCAGGCCTGGACATGGCCTCGCTGACGGCTCCCACTCCCCAATGGGCCAATCTGGCCCCCGTTCCGGGAAATCTGAGAGGATGTACCGGCCAGCGGCTCACTGAGATCGCGGCCAGGCCCGGTGCCCCGCCACCCGCCCTCTCACCTGCCAGCTGTCTTCGCAGTAGCAGCGCCGACTGCAGTTCCGTCATCCTCCCCGCCAAGAGCCCGGGCTGGCGCCGGGGCTTTCGAAGGGCTGGGAGCAGGCTCTTGGGGGTTGGCTGGAGCTGGGTGTGTTGAGGAAACTGGGCCCCCAAGACTGGAGCGCCGAAGCCGAAGGAGGCCGGGCTGGGGCGGCGGTAGCGGCTCCTCGCTCCTGGTTCGAGTCTGCTCGGTTCAGGTCTTCTCACAGCGCCTCACGCCCGGAAGGGGAGGGTACCCGGGCCGCCGCGGCGCGCACTGGGACGTCGCTCGCCCGCTTCCCTCCTTCAACCCGCCCGGCCGCCCCACCGGTGCCTTCCCCAGCCACTGCCTCACAGCGCGTAGGGCCGCTCCGCGCAAGCGCGCTCGGCCTGCTTGCTTCAGAAGCAGCCCGCCCTCTAGCCCGACCCCTCTGCATCCCTGTCCCGCCCCCGGAGGCGGAACCCCGCCCCCTACGCGCAGTTAACCGAGTCGCCGCCATCTTTGGAAGGTCGACGCCCGGCTTATAGCAAAGGCCGCTGCTTGTAGACGCCCCGCAGACGCCATGACAAAGAGGTCGCAGAGGGTCAAGACACCGCCTCCGGGCTGAAGCAAGTGGTGTGAATGAAGGGGCCGAAATAAGTGGTAGATGCCCAGTTATTGAAGAGCACCCACTGCACACATGGTGTGCGAGTTAGTCATTGTTAGAAAGCTGGACTCAATACTGGTGTGCCCCATTTTAAGCAATCCCCAATATAGACAAAATATATAGTGATAATTCACTTTACAGCAAGAATGCACAAAAATGATTCTTAAAATAAGCCAAATATTCTCCATCTCTTAGTAGGAAACATTTGAACAAATCATTACTAATAATTTCCATGAGTAAAGTGAGTTAAGATTAGCAAATCTGATATATATACAATTTAAAACATCATTCAGGAGCTCTGGTAGCATAGTGCCTAAGGCATTTGATTGCTAACCAGAAGGCTGGCGGTTCAAACCCACCTGCCACTCCTTTTCTACTTCGGTAGTGATACTGCCTCGGAAACCCAAGGAAGGGTGGCTATGAGTTGGATCCAACTCAATGACAGTGAGTTTGGTTTGGTTTGGGGCAGGAAAGCTATCTAGGATTTACAAAAATTACCTTCACTCAGGTCTAAGTCCAGTCTTCTCTATTCCCACAGCCTTGTGCTTTTGTATTACTCAGAGTCTCTATAAAAAGATGGAGCAGAGGAAAGAATGATATATAATGGCATTCAAATTTATCTATTCCCTCAACAAATATTATTAAACACTTTTTAACTATATCTGGACTGTAGAAAACACAGCGAAGTACAATTTTGTTCCTGACCCCAAAGGGCTTACAGTCTTGGTGAGTTCCAGGTAAGGTAAACAGAAAAGCAGTTTCCAACAGCTTCTTTTCTTTTTTTAATTATAAAAATTACTGGGAAAGAAAAATGTCCCCACTCTCGCCCCTAGAATAAGAATTAAAAGGAACCAATAAACATCAAGAATGAATCCCAACCCCTTTAGTATATCACCACCCAGGGCTAACAGGTTTTGTGAGGCCTAAAGTTTACCCAATGTGAGGGATCCTCTTTAAGGAAAAGAATAAAAAGGTTTGAAAGGAATATTTCATATTTATTTAGAATGAGAAAAGAAATCACAACAACTACCATAACTAAAGCCTTGGAAAATCACCCCATTCACTGAGATCTCTTCATAAAAGTTATCAAAAATGGTGCCTGTCGAGTAGCGACTGGGATCTTAAGAGCTTGCTAGCAGCCATCTAGATGCAACGATGGGTCTCTCTTCATCCAGAGCAAAGAAGAATGAAGAAAACCAAAATTCATGGAAACAATTAGTCCTACCAACCGGTACACCATGCGATCCTCAGCCTACACGACTATGAGACCAGTACTAGATGGTGCCTGGTTACCACTGTCAACCAATTGGAGGGGATCTCTGTAGTAAATCCTGGATAGAGAGGGAGAACAATGTGGAACAAAACTCAAAATCATTTGGAAAAAAAAAGGGGGGAGGGGACCAGGTTTGCTGGCCTGATAGAACCTGGTGGAACCACTTGAGACTATGGCCCCTAGCTACCCCTCAGGTCTGGAATTGAACCCACACCTGTGGCTTCCAGCCAAACAAAAGACAGGCATATGAGTTGAACATTTACCTGAGATAGATATACTCCTTGG